ATTATTCCAGAGGAAGGCATATATGGAGGCAAAAAAGCGAGAATGGTTCGATATGGAGTATTTTGAAAGACTAGGGGACGGGGAGGCTTAGAGGGACCAAAACACATGAAACTAAACTTGGACGGAGAATAGCACTCCAACGTGAGAGTGTAAGTAGGTCCGCATTTATTTTATCAACGCATATATCGTGAGAGTGTAAGTAGGTCCGCATTTATTTTATCAACGCATATACTTGCCGCGGAAAGACTAGTGGACAAGGAAGCTTGGCGGGACCGAAAAACATGAAACTACATTTCGATGGAGAGAGAACTCCATCTGCCAGGTAGCACTCCAACGTGAGAGTGTAAGCAGGTCCGATAGCACTCCAACGTGAGAGTGTAAGTAGGTCCGCATTTATTTTATCAACGCATATATAACGTGAGAGTGTAAGCAGGTCCGCGTTTATTTTATTAACGCATATATTGGCCGTTTCCTTAGAAAATGGGTATATGCATTTGAGATCGTCTGCATAAATGAGATTGTGTGAAATTTTCAGGATTGTCAAAATTTCATTTATGTATAGAATGAAGAGTAAAGGACGCAAGACAGTGCCTTAAAAAACGCCACTCGTGATCATCTGAGCAGTGGAGTAGCTTTTAGACGGATTGTATACAGCATGTAGTTTGAAAACTTGGAATGCCAGTGTAACGGCTCGCATGACGATGTCTAAAGTTTTTAAAGCCGAAATATGCACTTTCCTCAAGCACTACTTTTAAAGAAGGCATTATTTGCTATAAAACGAGTGCAAGGAAGAGTATTTTTCCCTGTTTTCTATAAAAATATATTCAAGTCTAGAAGACCATTGAATATTAGCGAGAAAAATAGAAACTACATAAGAAAACATTTTTTACAGAATACTTTTACAATAGACTGACATCCTGACGCGACTGAACTATCTTGAGAGTATGATCCCCCAATTTTACGACCTTACTCAGAATTCCGGTGGGCATATTTTGAGATGGGGATTTTACTGTCGTTCTTCCGTCGCAAGCATCTAAGATCTCCGCTGATGCCTGCGTTCAGTCATGACACATTGCTGAATTAATGTTTATTGCGGCAGCCTTATGCAGAATCACCCACATCCTCTCTCCTAATCCACGTTGCGTTAGTGAAAAGACGAAGTCGATATGACTTTTCAAAGGCGTGGACGTCGTAGCAGAGGCCACGTCTACTTGCATTAAATCCGCTGATTAAATAAATCGCACATCAACAGAGCTAGCCGTTATGCCGAAACCAGTCTATCACCACCGCTGTTTTCTGTAGCGGAGCATTTGCACGTCTTTATCGGCAGGACTATCTTTAAAGGTCCTATTTGCCTTTTAACTTATGACGATAACCTACTGTTAAATTTTTAATAACCTTACTCTCCTTTTCCGTTAAATTCAGCCAATTTACGGTCGAATTTCCCTTTTTTGTTAAATTGTTTGCCACCACAAGGCTGAATCTCCCTCAATAGGCATGGGTTGCCTGAGCAACAGAGTTAATATTGATGGAGCTAATTCTATTTAGTACACTGAGGCAAATATAAGTTTTCTTAATATAATATTTTTTGATCACTTCCAAAGCAATTAGGTATTCATTTATGCTTGCTCATTAAATTGCTAATAGAATTGAATATGCGAGTTCTAGGAAGCACCAAGTAAGACCTCAAGCGGTAAACTGACAATTATAGTACGCATGCGGGCGACCGGTACGAACTATAAATACCGTGCAATCTGCGCATGTATGACCCTTATCCGCGCATGTCTCAGACTTTTCTACGATTACCTATGACTAACGATTCCCGACGGAATCCGAAACGTCAGGACAATAAAACTCTTGTTCCAGAGATCGCTTCTTCGTCTTCTAAGAATTAAATGCTTGACCACAAATTACTTTGGACAGTTTAAAAGAATAACCTACGTTTGCATTTCCAGTAACCCGACTTTCATTTTCTTGTTAAAACCCGCCAATATAAAGTCAACTTTCCTTTTTTTCGTTAAATTCCGCCAATATAAGGTTGAATTCCCTTCAAGAGGCCTCAATCGCCTGAACAACAGGAGTTAATTTTGATGGAGCTAATTCTATTTAGTAAATTGGAACAAATATATGTTTCCTTAATCTAATATTTTTTGATCACTTCCAACGCAGTTAGGTATTCATTTACACTCGCTACCCAAGAATTAACTGTTTGATCAGAAATTACTTTGGACATTTGGGCGGGGGGAATAGATATTTAGGCGGCCCTACAAGACAGTTTTGCCCCTTTATCACTTAAAAAGACAGAGAAATATTTACTCACTACCACTTGCTAGTTTATTAGCCTAACCGCGACCTGTTTACATTCCTAGAATGAGGCCAATCAATTGCATGAAAAAATTGAACGGCTGCTCTCCTCCAATCAACTGTTGCAGCAGAGCACTGATCCGTCGGTGCTTCCTCTTGATTGGCTAGTCAATGACCTGCAGGCAACAATGGCACCCCTGCAGGAGGGCAGTGCAGAGGCGGAGATCATCGCTGCTAACCTCTGCGCCGACGAGCCCGATGCGGCCGGGGGTGACAGGGCGCTGGAGTCAGCTGTTGTCGTCAGAGCTCAACAGCCGACTGATTCCTCTCTCCCTGTTGATCAGCTATCAGTCGAGGAAGACAGTGGCACTTCTCCGGTCTTCTCTCCAGGCGTGTTTGGTGCTCCCGACACGATTCCAGGTATGCCAAGGCGTTGATGAGAAAGAGCCAGCAGTCTTTCGCATCCTGGTGTCTCTACCGATGGTGGGCTTCGCTGTGCGGCCAGTTTATATTCAGCAAACATTGGAAGCCGTTTGAAAAATTTGTCGGTTTGGAGACTCACCATCGAACGTCTAGGGCAGTCATTCTTTAATGAAGGTCGCTTCTTTCACCAAAAAGCACAACTCACGCACTGTATTCATTTTTATTCCACCTTATGGATCTTTTTAACTCCAAAAATTATGATTAGTACAATGTCATGGGTACTGAATGGTTTGTGCGGCTTCCCAATTTCATCTAACCAGGCTCCGATTTCGAGCTAATTAACGGTTGGTGGTTAAACGCCGACACTTTTGCTGTATCAGTATCAGTATCAGGGCGTCAGTATCAGGGCGTCCTTTGATCCTATCTTAAGCATTATAATTTTTCAGGGTCATTGTTTCTGCTGTGTTTTCAGAAGACGCTAACACAAGCCCTTTCAATTCCGTAGTCGACGCCCCCACGTTTTAGTGACAGTCGTTCACTCCGTGCAAGTGACAGTAATTATCACTCCACATACCTGACCCAAGACCGACGCTCACAAACTATCCTTATTTCCTCCCCTTCCTCCCTCTCCCAAATATATCTGGGAAAGACAGTAGCCAGTTAACATGCGATGCATGCGACCATACAAATGAACTAATACTTATGAATTGAAAAACAGGTATCGCAAGAAATATAATTTGATGGCATATAGGTTTTCTGGGAAAAGTAGGAAGCCCGAAGAAATTTTCGAAGCTGGTTTTCCAGGTCATCGTAAGGATTGAGTAAATGTACAAAAACAGTTAACATTTCAAACGTGCTTAAAAATCGATAGTCATTTGACGTGCGTCAATTTACGTTCGCCGTTTGCACCAGGATCTATTGATCGTTTCTCTTTATAGACCAAATATTTACTTAAGGAATTTTCATATATTGCACAAAAAATCTATTTGCCTTCGAGGAGGACACTGTACGCCAAGCTTTGGCCGACATGAGTGACGTCGCAAATTTTTCTTCCCTGAGTGTTAAGATCGGTAGCAGCTGATCTAAAGAGATCGGCATTTTCTGTTGTCCTGTTTGGGATCAACAGATGTTGAACGGCTACGGGTGGTATTTGTCGTCCACACAAAGGTGTCTGACGACGCCTATTTTGACTATGTGTGGGTTTCTGCCTTAAAGATTGCGATATAAGGTTTGCTTACTTGCCCCGGGGTTTATTTTTATCTCAGAATAACTATTATGCTCATTGTGAACGTGCTCAACGAGGCCGTACTCTATCTCGACTATCCAGTGATGTGTGGAACTTGTAAGAAGATGCTCCTTTTGCGAACCATTACCACTTGATATTGCGAGTTTAGGCTCATTTTCCTGTGTTTGTTTGCACTCGCGTTTTGCCTGAAGACCGCTATTGTTTAACATTTAATTTGAAAACCACATTCGTTATCCTTGCAAATCCGGAAATATTATATCTCACTGCTTATCGACTCTCCTATCCTTCTTTTTATTCCTGATTTTGGTTTCGTATAGCCGTGGCGTAATTAGTATTTCGCAGAAGTTACCAGGAGACCCAATGACGTGGCCGTTCCAAGGAAGTGTAATCTGTTATTTTGTTTTGTATGTCGTATGCTTGGGACCTCCCGTGTTCCTTCGCCATGCAGCCCCTGCCAATCCCCTCTGTATAAAAACTGTATTGAAGATCATTTTTCTTTTTAAGACTGCGAACCGCTCTGCTACCGTGAAGTTTTACACTTGTAGGTGTAATTTTTTGTTCGATAGTCGACCCAACAGATTTTCGGCAACGTGGGCAGTGGTGTTTACTTCCAAATTGGAAAAAATGGAGTGCGATTTGAGGAGCACGAAATTCACTCCCACCTGAGTCAGAACGAGTACAATTGAGTTTTTAATAAGCGGAAGATCCAACATTTCACCACCACTTAAGACTGATCGTTTCTTGCACTTACTGGATGTGGGTGTGGTCGAAAACCTGTCCGACATTAAACTACTACTACTACCGCCGAACACGTGAGCATATGCCCTTGCATAATTCACTCTTCAGTTACCATACGAAGATTTGGCGGAATTTAATTGGTCAGGTGAATTCAACCTATCACAACGGGCGTGTGCGCGTGAGGGGTGGGGGGCGGGGTGAAAATCAATTTAACTTATTGTCCCGGTAACAGCTGTTGAACTTAACAGTGAGGCGTGCCTCGCGTGAACTGTCTTTCGCTTTACGTCGACTAGGCGGTGAGTGCAACTTTTGTATAGGTCCGTAGACCTTATCTGTGCAGGCCCTTAATTTTGTGCTTATTTTAGGCTGACCATGAAATATTATTATTTAAAGTTGTATTGACAGCAATTAGGTTTGCCTAGCTGGAATATTCGGCCGAGTTTTAATTTCCATGTCGTTCGTAGATAACATGTGTGATTTCTATGCGCGGTGCCACTATCTGGTCTGATTTTGTCAAATGAAATTAGGCCGGAGGTTCAGTTTTAGAAGGAAAAAAATACGTATCTTGATTGTATCATGATTCGTCCTTGGTTAATACATCAGCCAGTAGAAACATGCGGCTGCCTTTTGTCACGGAGTTTGTAGCACGCCGCGTGATTCTCATTGGTTAGCTGCACTGTGCTGTCATTCTTTTCTCATAGGATATTAGCTACGCGTCTGGATCTAACACTTATCATGAAGTACACGTGACGTGAGGTTTTTCGTCAGTGAATGGTTATAAACCACGTGTTTTGGCTGCGCATATGACACCGTGAATCCCTTTTATCTGCACGATTGAGATGGTAAATAAAGATGTGGTATCTACCAAATTGGTCCCATTCTTCGATGGTTTCTTCTACAAAATAAAAAAACGCGGTGTTGACTCAGCATTGCCTACACCGCAGCATTCTCTATAAAACACTTGTCGACAGGTAACTGTGATTGGGTATTTTTAGCTCTATCTGTCGTCAACATCCAATCAGGTCCAGTTGCGAGCTGAGACACTACAACTCTAAACTCAGGTGCGACTGTTAATTGCGTTCAAATTTCTACTGGTTCATTCACTAGCTCACGACCTTTCCAATGCCTCTGTAAATACTAAGAGTTCTCTATGGTTGATGTGATGGAAAGGACTGTATTCGGTTCGGCAGACCAGTCAAGTTGATAAATGCCGCCCTAACGTGAAAAGTCTAATAAGTCTCAGAATTTCGGAAAATTCACACAATGGAGCCACTTCTACGAGCCAGGAATAAAACAATATTGAACTGCAAAAGGTGGCAAGAAAGACCGCATGGAAAATCAACCTTGTTTAAATATCGCTAAGCAACATCCATTGGGCGGAAACTACAAGGAAAGGCACAGATGGCTAGATACCTTCGAGCCGAAGCTTCCGCACTGTAGCTCTGGATAACTGCACCCTTCTATATGTGTCTCTGGTATAGAGTCAACTATACCCTCGTCTGAGTATACAGTGCAGAGATTCGCTATTATGAAACAGGAAGGCGACGGCTAAGAGACTGTGCGTTAAAATCTTGTCTTGTTAGATGATAACCAATCGTTTTTGGCCCCTATGTTCGGCTAACTCGCGTTGGTGTCGGCCGTAAAGTGCACAAAACGACTAGCCAAGTGCACATCGCACCTAAATTTACCGGTATATTTTTCCTTACGAATAAGTGCATCACAGTCCACTAAGGCCTCTTAGGCGAGAGGCCAAATGCATATCTACCGTACAGAGCTTAGGAAGTCATTCCACCGCTTTTCGGAAATGGGCAGAATACTGTTGTCTATGAGTTTTAATCGGTCAACTTGAGGCGACCTTCAGACATGACAGATTTCGTTGTCGCAACTTACTGCCATCGCTATGGTAGCTATTTAATAAACGGGTCAGAAGGACTGGTCAGATCCTCCGATCCCGTAAATTGACTCGTTTCTTCCAGGAACAGGTAGCAAATGTGCTGTTTACGATGAGCATATAGTAAATTAGATTATTATAACTACCCTAGCTTGGTTCGTTCGTCGTAGTCACAACAGTTTTCCTGTCCTCGTTGTTAGGACCCAGTAAGTAGAGTTCCCACGACTGCTTATGAAATTTATTTTGCTGGCAGTGCTTTTTGACTGCGCGACAGTAGTCCTCGCTAGGAAGCCTGCTTACTGACAGACTACTTTGGTTCTTCGGTCCGGTTCCTGTGCCGCCCTAATGTAGCCTTAGAGTAGCTTTTTCCATTCTGCGATCCAAGCCATTGCAGTCTGCTGCACTTAAACTGAGAAACCGGCAAGTGTGTGGAGCGGGTAGAAGCCGACCTCATGT